TTGTATGCCTGTTATTTTAAATAAAATGCACTTAAATTTATGAACTAGGAAAGAAAGTAAAGTTGCTAAAAACAACTGTAGAACTTCCCAATAAATGCTTCCTCAGTACAAAAATATAGGATATTTTTTGGAATATTTGCTTGTGTAAAGTTAAGGATGGGTGCTGAGCATGGTGGTACACACCAGGAACCCCAGCACTCTGAGAGGCCGAGGCAGGAGGACTATAGGATCATTGCCCAGCCTGGGCAACTCAGTGAGACCCTGTCTGGGCTCGGAGTAGCTCAGTGTGAAGGCCCCGATTGGGCCCAGTCTCACATGCTGAAAAACAATGGTGACATCATGCCGGGGACCAGCTTGGGCTTAGCGCTAATCACAGTGCGCCTTGGCTGTTGCTGGCGTGCACTCGCCCGTTCTGCCCCTTCCATTTGTCTGCCTGCTGCATCTGTATTTCCAGTTTATCTTGCCCCCATATCATCATGATGTTTTGGCTTGAGTTGTAGTTTTGACTGGTGGTAGAGTTGTTAGGTCTGCCCCAGGTCGCAGTCTCCTCTTGGTCATGTGCCCTGGAGCTGCCCCTGCTGGTTTGTCATGTGCAGGCGTCAGTTCTGCTGTGTGCTCCTGGGCCTGCGTCTCTTGGCCTCAGAGCGCTGCAGGTATGGGCCACAGTTTGCTGGGCTCCAGGGCTGCTGTGGAGAACTGGGGCGGCCCCTGGCCCAGTTGTGTGGTGATTCCTTGTTTGGTTTTCTTCCCATTCTTTTTCTGTCTTTTTGTAGCCTTCATCAATGATACTAAGCATACATTAAATTGAGCTTTATTTTATAATGTGTGTCAGAATAAAGTCCTAAGGGAAGATGAATAATCAAAATATTAAGATAAAGCCACACAGCTGTGTCTGGTGGTCTGCAGGAAAGCACCAGTGGGTCCAGTTCTGTCCACACACGGCCTCACAGGGGTGAAAACCATGATGACACAGTCTCCATGTTTTCCTGCATTTGTATGTTTTTCCTCAAGAGTAAATAAAAAACAAAAAATGCTTGCAAAATAAGAATATGAAAGTCCAAATTAGAATAGGTTGTTTGGACATGACGGTGATAGTGTGGATGAATGTGTGTCTTATTCCTGATAAACCCAACGCTGCGAAAGAAAGACGGTTACAGGGTGGAGAGGCGTCTCACCAGTGGAAAGCCCAGGGGAGGGGAATGTACACATTAATCTAGATTTAAGGGTCAATTTTTGAGGAATCAGAAAGAAGTTTGCTGTTTCGAACATAGGGTTTCAGGACTGGGGAGGTGGGTCAGTGGAATAAGCACTCGTCTGGCAAGCACAAGGGCCTGAGTTCAATCCAGGGTTTCTTGTGTGTAGTTACCTACTGGATTAGGGAAACTTGGATCATTTGTAAAATTGTGCATTTTTGTGATTTGGAATATGTATGTCTTATCTTTGCCATTAAATTGTTTCCTCCTTCGTAAGTCCAAGAAAGGCATTTCATTCATTTTCTGTTCATTGTAAATAGATTTCTGTCTTCATGGCCTGTAGCCCACAACTTTGCATGTAGAGCTCCGGAAATAAGGGTTTATTAAAGAGCAATTATGATGAGTTTTGTTAGCCATTACTTTTATACAATACGTTGGAGGGGTTTAGAATCTTTAATAAATATGGTGGGTTTTTCCCAGAGCTTTAGAAAATAATTTCTGATGCTTGGTTTTATGCCTACAATTTTGACTAATATATCTCGTTTTTTAAGTAGAAAGACTTACACTCTTATAAAGGTAATTGTGTACCTAAATCTCCTTTTGCAAAATTCCATTAATTTTCTTAAATGATGGTATGCAGAATGGCATTTAGAGACCCTGATTCTTACGATCTGAAAATGATCTTCTGTACTGCAGGCATGATTTGTGGCACACTAATGATGTAATTAAAAAGGATTGCAACGTGAAATGACAGCGCTGTGGCATGAAATACACTGGATGTACGCACATAGCTTGGTGACAGTTGATCGTTTTGCTGTGTTGATTAGAGGGGTAGATTTTTCTTAAACATAGGTACATACTCAACGTGGAAGAATGATTTTCTTTTGAGCATCAAACTTCAGAGTACCGGATTGGGCAGGTGGAGGGTGGTGGTAGAATTGGCATCAGCCTCGGGATATCGGGTGTATTTATTTTTAACCTTTATGCAGATAATTATTAAAGTGTACATTTCAAGTGTGTTCAGAGTCATTTTGAATGATTTCCATTTGAGAATTGAGGGGCCAGGTTTGTTAGTCATTAATCCAAGCACAGTAATATTGCTTCTTTTATTGATCTTTCTATGATTTTAAGAATTGGGGTGAGGAGAGTCACCAGCGCCGAGCGTCGCCACATTGCAGCCCATATGTGTGCCTTTCTGATGAGGAAGGTGTAGCGCAGCATTCCTCCAGCACGTTCGGCACCAGATTGATGATGTTTCTAATTTGGTGCGTGGCTTGCGGAAGAGCGTGAGTGCACGTTCCACCAGGAGCATATTTTGCTTTGAATCTGAGGAGGAATACTTAATGAGTCAAGCTCAGAAGCAATGGAGGGAGGATGCAGACAAGCAGAAGAGAGGGGTTTAACGGGGCTTAATGCGGAAGAAATACAGTGGAGCTGAAGCAGCACAGCACCCAGCGTCAGGGTTTTCACATCCAGCCCCTAATGAAGTCCTCCGCCAGAGCTGTCGCGGGACCTGTCGGGAGCAGCCCTTTCTGCGCCTGGTGCACCCTCGCAGAAGCGCTGGTGCTGCCTCAGGAGCAACCGTCCCTGAAAACGAGGGCTAGAAATTCCCGTCATGGTGAACTGTCTGCTTCCATTGTGTTGTGTGACAGGAGAACACGCCTTTGTTCCCACCCGCTGTCCTTGTATTGCCGGCAAGGCGGGGACCCGCTCTCGGCCAGCCAGCGTGCTGCTCTGCTCCGGTGGCACACGGGGTACTCTGTCCTACTTTCTTTGCGCTACTTTTTCTGGCTTGTGACTCTATCAAAGATGCTAACACTTTGTTTTCTATGTTTCAAATATTTTGCCTGGCTTTCTGTATTGTAATTTTGTTTGCCTTATTTTCAGCATGCATAATTTTAAAAAATCATGAAAGTCAACTGTAGTAATCTTTTAATCTATGATTTATTTTTGTTAAACTTTGGAGCCAGGTGCGGTATCCCAGCAGGAGGAGTCCGAGCTGCGGGAGGCCCCTCCAGCAGTCCCCCGGGGGGTGATTGGTATTTCTTCTGGGGCTTCTGATGTAGCAGGAACGGATCAGGCCGACTGTGCGTGCTGCTCACCGTAAGGAATCCGGCCTCTCCCGTCAGCCCCTGCGATGCTATCTATGTAAGATGACTCCCGGGAAGCGGCACATAGGTCTGCTGTCAGCCTCCTCCGCAGAGGGCGCTCCGGGAAGAGCTTGGCTGCCAGGGCTCTGCTTCTCCACCCCCACAGAAGTGGAAGAGCAAGATGGAGCTCAGACCTGTTCCCAAGATCCTGTCCTCCCTCTTCCCTGTCCTGATGGACACATTTCCTTGTGTGAGAGTCACACTCTGCATAATTCCTGTGTCTGACTGCCAGGTTAGCCCAAAATAACAATAATAATTTTTCCTGCTCTTCATTGTACACAATTTTACCTATATTTTGAACTAACTTGGATTTTAAAGGTAGCCTGGGAATTTGAATAAAATTATTTCAGAATTAGACTAGGTTACAAATAAACTGTGGAGGCACCGATTGTTCGAGGCCGTGGCCTACCCATGAGCCTTCTGCGGAGAAAGGAGCAGGACTTGCCTTGGCGTTTGTGGATGGCTAGAGCCTCCCGGGCATGCCGGCCGGCTCAGGGATGCTCATTTGCAAATTCTGTGAGGTTGGGTACAGTGTGAGTGGTACCAAGATGCCCCACTGCTACCCAAAGTGTGTGTGGTTTGACAGTTACTGATGGCAGAAGCTTCTGTGGCCTCGCACGGAGCCACAGGCTGTGTGGGGCGCTCCATAGGGCTAGACAAAGCCATAGCCCAGAAGGAGCCTGGGGAGAGGAACCCCAGCAAATGTGGGGGGGAGGGGAGCCCCAGTAGAGGCCGGGGAGGAGGGATCAGGAGCTCTAGCAAATGCTGGGGAGGAGGAGGAGGAGAGCCCCAGCAGATGTTGGGGGGAATACCAGCAGAGGCTGGGGAGGAGGGGGAGGGGAGTTCCAGCAGATGCCGGGGAGGAGGGGGGAGGGGAGCCTCAGCAGATGTGGGAGAGCACCAGCAGAAGCCAGGGAGGAGGGGGAGGGGAACCCCAGTAGATGTGGGGGAGCACCCGCAGAGGCTGGGGAAGAGGGGGAGGGGAGCCCCAGCAGATGACAGGGGAGAAGGGGAACACCAGTAGATGCCAGGGAAGAGTAGGAGGAGGGGAGCACCAGCAGATACCCGGGAAGGAGGGGAGAACCAGCAGATGCCAGGGAAGAGTAGGAGGAGGGGAACACCAGTAGATGCTGGGTGAGGAGGGGGGAGGTGAGCCCCAGCAGATGCTGGGGGAGAAGGGGGTGAAGGAAGCACCAGCAGATGTGGGGGGGAGGGGAGCACCAGCAGATGCTGGGGGAGGAGGGGAGCACCAGAAGATGCCAGGGAACAGTAGGAGGAGGGGAGCCCCAGCGGATGCTGGGGTGAAGGGGGAGGAGGGGCGCCCCAGCAGATGCCAGGGGCAGGCGGCAGCGAGCAAGACCCAAGTATGGAAGCTCCTCCGTGCAGATGAGATGGAGCAGGTGCAGAGGCTGAGTGGCCAAGAGGGGGCAGAGCTGAAGCCTCACGGTGGGCTGTGTTTCACAAGCACTTTACTGGCTTCTCCTGTAATCAGACTTTCTTATGATGAAAGGCATTTTCTACTATGCCTAGCTGTCTCCATTTAATCTAAAATAATCATAATATAGGGGTTGGTGGGTATCTGGACCAGGACATTGAAGCCATCTAATTCAGCCCATTTCTTTCTCACTACTGACAAATTGCTGTGGCACTTCCCAAGCGAGGCTGGCCTGGACTTTGGGACCACAGGTTAACTTTCCATTGCTCATGCCCTCCAAGAGGTTCTGAGGTAAGGCGGAGATGATAGCTCAGAGTATTCAGGGATAGGAGTTAAACTGATTATCGGTTAAAAGAATAATATTAAAAATAGAGCTGGGGGTGTGGTTCCATAGCACAGTGTTTTCTAGCAGGTATGAAGCCCTGAGTTAAATCCCCAGAACCTCAAAAAATATCTTAAAAAAATAAGAAATAACATGTATGAAAAATAATCGATGAGTTGTATTTAATGTTTCTAGACTCGGGGTGATTGTTAAACAAGCACTTCACTCACTCACTAACAAACAGTCCCATGGTGAGCACATCCCACACTTGTGTGAGTGAGCGTGGCTTACACTCGTGGGTTTATTCCTCATGTCAAGTAGGACCTGGGATTGTGATGAGCTCTCATCTGGACTGTTGGACGGGAATAGCAGCACAGCTGGACCATAAAGGAAAGGAGGGAAAGGGGTGAAGATGAGTGGGTACGTGCACCGGCTCCACCAAAGAATGTCAGTGCTGTACATGGCACACATTCTAATAAGAGAGGAGGGAGGGGAGGGTGGAGGAGTGTTGTCGGTGTTAGGCTGACCTCCAGGAGGGCAAGGACTTTGCTTTTGTTCCTGTGTCTTTGTCTGTGGTACCTGGCACAGTGTAAGACACACAGATGCGTGCCATTTCCAGTTGTGGGTCAGGTGACCAGCTGCATTCATTTGATACTTCCTGACTACCAGGTACTTTCTTTTTTTTTTTTTTTTTAATTTTTATTTATTTATTTATTTGATACAAGGTCTCACTATACAGTTCAGACTCATAGTGATCTTTCTGTCTCAACCTCCCTAGCACTGGGATTATGCGTGTGTGCCGGCGTGGCATGTGGTTCCCAGGATCGAACTCAGGTCCTTGCACTTGCCAGGCAGGTGCCTCGACCACCGAGCTGTCTCCCCAGCCCACCAGGTGCTTTTCTAGGTGAATTTTGATACTTATATCTAAGACATGGAGTGCACAGGGATGAGTAGGTTTGGTGCAATGATAATAAGTTACATATCTTGGGCGCGTGGACTTCAGGTGACGGTGGACAGCCAGAGAGACTGGAACCTCTCTCAGCTACAGAAGCGTGGTCTCGCTTACAGTCTGGATTTAAGGTGTAATTGAATGCCCAGGCTTGGAAATGTTGGCAGTTACTAGGAGTAAAGTAAAATGTAAATTGCTCTTATTCTTCTGATTTTCCTTGAAAAAAGAAGTTATTTTAGCAATAGACTAGGTTCTTTGACATTCAGGTAGTCTGAGAGAACTGAAAGAACATCATTCAGACATATATACCTTCCTGCCTACATACATATATACCTACATACATATGAACATACATACCTACATGCAAACATATACACATATACATTAAAATAAAAACACTTTAAACTTCTTCTTTGGAACTAAAAACCTGTGAATGATTTGGCCGCGGGAAACCGCTCCTCAGTACGTGTGTGTGTGTGTGTGTGTGTGTGTGCCCGTGAAGACGTGTTTTGTACTTCGGAATTTCCAAAACAGATAGACTGCCCTTCAGTTCTGACAAGGACAGATTTCCTTGAAATACACCCTGTGAATACTGTCCTTTGCTCTGTGCTAAGTGACCAGAAACTTGGACGCAGAAATTGTTAGCAAGATGTGAAGGTCACCTGGGTCTCGAAGATGGCTGACCGCGGCACTTCTGCCTGGGCTTCCCAGTTCTGCACTTGTGCAGCTGATGTTCTCCGCAGCAGAAAGCCTGCATGGTGCTGGTGGCCGAGAAAGGGCCCTGGTGGGCTCTGGCGCCACACCACAGAGGTCTGCCGGGGTCCCACTAGCCCATGGGTTCAGTCCTTGTGATGTCCCCTCACCTGCAGTGGCACAGAAGCGAGTTGGTGAAGGGACAGTGACCTAATCACTTTGATGTCTGGATAGCGCCTGAATTTGCACATGGATAAGCAAGGAGTTCAAAAGAATCTCTGCCTGTACACTTCTGCTTGGGTTGTGTTGCTCAGTCCCAGACGCTTCCGGCAAATCTTGCTGCCTTGGTCAATATTCTCCCCCCCCACACACACACACACATAATAGTCGGTCTCCCTTGGCTGAGCACAAGACTAAGCACTTGACCTCAGAGGAATGATTGTAACTCAGCTGAGATTTAGACCAGGACAGTAAGGGGCATTAGAGGACAAGTGACCCAAGCCAGTGGGAGGAACAGTGTCTGCCGTTTAGGTTTGCAAGTGTCTAATGTTTCTGACAGGAACATCATATTTATTGCTTTGCAACTGCTTGAAAATCTTATTACCTATCTGTATATGTGTCAGTGCTTGCTAGAGAAATGGATTTAGTGCAAGATATGCAAATGTATAAGAAGTTTCAGGGTCCAAGGAGAAAGCTCGGTAGAATGAGCGCTTCCCTGGCAAGCTCAAGGGCCTGAGTTCAATCCCCAGTTGCACCAAAAAAAAAAAAAAAAAAAAAGTTTCAAGATGAACTTTCACCGGCCGCCTACAGAGTCAGGTGTGGAAGAATGCAGAGGGCTGTGGGCTGGAGAGCCCTGTGCGCGGTCCCCCGCGAGCCGTATGGAGAGGCCTGAGGGTCTGCGCTAGGAGCCAGGAGGTGAAGTGCAAGGTGCAAGTGAAGACTGGAGCTGCAGAAGTGAGCGTCCTTCCTTCCCTTTTCCTCTGTTCAGACAACAAGCCTGTTGGCCGGCACTCCGCCCACGGAGAA